CACACCATACAAGTAGAAAACTACTTGACTATAGTGGGATATGTACTCAGGTAGATTGTATATATTAGATGATGTTCTCCAAGTGACGTCCACACCATACAAGTAGAAAACTACTTGACTATAGTGGGATATGTACTCAGGTAGATTGTATATATTAGATGATGTTCTCCAAGTGACGTCCACACCATACAAGTAGAAAACTACTTGACTATAGTGGGATATGTACTCAGGTAGATTGTATATATTAGATGATGTTCTCCAAGTGACGTCCACACCATACAAGTAGAAAACTACTTGACTATAGTGGGATATGTACTCAGGTAGATTGTATATATTAGATGATGTTCTCCAAGTGACGTCCACACCATACAAGTAGAAAACTACTTGACTATAGTGGGATATGTACTCAGGTAGATTGTATATATTAGATGATGTTCTCCAAGTGACGTCCACACCATACAAGTAGAAAACTACTTGACTATAGTGGGATATGTACTCAGGTAGATTGTATATATTAGATGATGTTCTCCAAGTGACGTCCACACCATACAAGTAGAAAACTACTTGACTATAGTGGGATATGTACTCAGGTAGATTGTATATATTAGATGATGTTCTCCAAGTGACGTCCACACCATACAAGTAGAAAACTACTTGACTATAGTGGGATATGTACTCAGGTAGATTGTATATATTAGATGATGTTCTCCAAGTGACGTCCACACCATACAAGTAGAAAACTACTTGACTATAGTGGGATATGTACTCAGGTAGATTGTATATATTAGATGATGTTCTCCAAGTGACGTCCACACCATACAAGTAGAAAACTACTTGACTATAGTGGGATATGTACTCAGGTAGATTGTATATATTGGATGATGTTCTCCAAGTGATCATGGTGGGATTGATCATAATGGGATTTTTAGTACTCAGATAGATTATATGTATTCGGTGATGTTCTCCAAGTGATGTCCACACCAGGCAAGTAGAAAACTACTTGATCATGGTGGGATTTATACTCAGGTATATTATATATATTTGATATTCCCCGAATGATGTCCACATACACCAGGCAAGTAGGAAACTGCTTGAGTATGGCGGGATTTGTACTCGGGTAGATTGTGTACTGGATGATGTTCTTCAGGTGATGTCCACAACAGGCAAGCAGAGAACTACTTGAGTATGGTGGGATTTGTACTCGGGTAGATTGTATATTGGATGATGTTCTCCCGGTGATGTCCACACCTGGCAAGCAGAAGACTGCTGGAATCCATTGGTGGGTTTCATTTACTCTGCTAGATTAACTAATGTATTAGCTAATGTGCACTAGTATATTATTTTTCTATATCTCTGTAAACCAAGTATGAAATTATGCAGGCTCTACCTCCGTTTGTACCATGCCGGATCTCTGTGCTCGAACATTGAGTATAGCTTGCTTGATGTCAATCTCGCTGTTTAAACCTGAACGAAAATGCAAGAATGATTCCAAACACACATGGCAACACAGAGACACTATACGACTGTAGTCTGTAAATCTATGATCTTGAATGGAATCCTGTCTCCAGGTTGACTCTGGTACTAAATCTTAAATATTATTTCTCATTCAAAGAAAAACCAGTATAGTGTAGTAATCTAACCTTGTTCTTTGAGAATATGCATCAAGATATCGATGACTATGAATGTCCCTGTTCTTCCAATACCAGCACTGTACAAATAGCAAGAATGATTGATTCTTATAGTTTAGTTAAATAACTCAATCATGAACCGAATAACACTTACATTTGTAATCTAATTTTTGGGTTTTAGTTGAGCACTGCCGTGCAACAGGTGGCAGCCAGTTTGAGTACTTGGTGATCAGTAAATTTATTGATTTAAGAGATGTGGTCATACAAGGATCGTATAGTGGCACGTGGAGACGCCCTAGTAAACCTTCAGCTTGGTGATGTTTGAACAGAGTCATTCGTAATTCAGCTAAGCTCTCAGCTGCAAGTAAGGATGTTAGCATCTAGCAATAAATCCAGCCACACCTACTAGGGAGTGGGTGTGTGTGCTCATCAAGCTTTGGTCATGGTTCAGGGTGCGATTGTTGACCAAATCGGTAATCACCAAGGGTGGGTTGACTACAAATTTTTTGTAGTTCGCTATAACTACAGCTACTTCAAAAATATGTAGTCAGCTACAACTACTGCTACATTTGAACAAAAGTAGTTCGCTACTGACTACAGCTACTGCTTAAAAAATGTAGCGAACTATTTCGCTATTTCGCTACTCAATATTTTTTAATTTTACGGTATATGGAACATCTGCTATAGCTCTGGCTGTAATGTAACCTATAACAAATCGACTTACGCGAGTAAATAAGACGGCATGCACTTGCACAGTTTGAACAGTTGCACGGCATACTTTATTCATGCAAATTGAGCATTGATTTTAAGCAAACTGTGTCCTAATAACATTCTATTCTATCAAGTTGCTAACAATTTTAAAAGGTAGCGAATAGCGATTTGCTGTTTGAAAAGTAGTCGACTACTTGGCTACTTTTAGGCAAAATGTAGTTCGCTATAACTACAGCTACTGTTTTGAAAAAGTAGTCAAAAACTACTGGCTACTTGAAAATTGTAGTTCGCTACAGTAGCGAACTACAACTACTTCGCTACTACCCACCCTTGGTAATCACTAGATCTTGTTTGACTATTTCATAACATTTCACAATTTTCTCTGTTTCAATTTTGTTTCTTTCCTTTTTTTAATTCAATTTTCTCTAATTTTGTTTTTGCAATCGCCTTTCGAAATCCGTGAAATGGACTTGATAAGCAAAATTTTGGCATCCCCCTTTGCCAAGGCTAGGGAGAGGTGGACACCTCCCTGTAAATTCATTCCTGTTATAGCATCCCTTCCCCCTACCTGCAATGTACGACAATGGGACCAGCGCCTTCAATATGATCTTGCTTGATGTTGACGTCCTCGAGAATATTGAGAACTGAACTGGGGTCATCAGGTACGCCATGATCAGGCCAGCCTGTGTAGTGGAACTGATATATACTGCGTGGTTCTGCACCTTCCTGTGGAGATATAGAGAAAAATATAATTTCAACACCTTTTTCTTTTACAAATACTATTTTAAGCAAAAACTAGAAAGAGCTAATGGATATTCAAGGTAAGCTGCTATACAAGTCTTACATTGGATTCTCTCCAGAGTTTTATTTCTCTGAAAATATAGTTGGCCGTGTGCTCCTCTTCTTTTAACATCACGCTGAACTTTCCATATGTCTTGATCATCTGTTTATCATCTGGCCAGTACCGCGTGCATTTTGTCTGAATAAATAAATAAGTACTTCTTGATTAATAATAGAGTCAGAGTTAAGTTGGAGCTCCTCAATACTAGCTGCTTGGGTTCATCCTAGAGAGGGATGGGGCACTGAGGGTCATCGATTGACCTATTTCAAAAATTTAACTATCATGTCGAATCGAGTCAATGGCTACACGAATTGTATAGTGAACAAAAATTTCCTTACATGTCTATATCTGCATCGAGAATTATTTTTTATTTCTTCAAACCTTTTCCTCTTCCCAACCTATTCAACTACAAGTCGACTCATTTGGGTCGAGTCATTTTTCGTATTCGAGTCAAGTCGCAGAAAATTGCGATTCGAGTCCCCCTTCGTTACAACACACATAATGTACCAACAAGATCATGCAGGGAATGATGGGAAGTAAGGTATCATATTGCTGATTATGCTGAAAAAACTTCAATAAAAACTACCGAAACATTTCAATATTTACAAGTATAAGCTATTACTCCGTGTTTACACGATTTCTATTTTTTCAGCATAAACAGCAATGTGATACATTACTTCCCATCGTCCCCTGCACGCATAAACTAAAAGCTGGAATTGCCTATTACGGATTTAAAAGTTCCCAAAGTTACTACCCAGTTTGGGAAATCAAAGATATCTTACTGTATAGTGGGGCAATGTTATTTAACTCTATTCCGAACCACTTCAAAGATACCCAAAACAACTCACTGACAAAATTTTGAAAATCACTCAAGCTGCTAAAATCGTGAACAAAATAATTATGCTCTGCACCTATATGTTTCTAGAGCTCTCTAGCATGTATATAAATCCGCCAAGACTTACCCGTCCTCTCTCAACTTCCTTGGTTGTCATGACAATGACACGACAGTTATCTTGCCATACCATCGCCCAGAAGTCGCCGACTGTGACGGGAAGACAACCTTGCGTCGCGATATATCGTTTATGGTGACCTTCAAGTGAACCCTATATAGAATGGACTTTGATCTCAATTCGGTTGACACAACTTATGGAACACTTTGAACTACCGTAAATAAACCTTTCAATTTACCCACAAAAGACTTTCAAACCATTAAGCCGGTAGTGGTTGTCAAATTTTCAACCTCTTTAAGAAATATGCAACTCACGTTAATAAAGTTCGCATTAGTATAGTCATGGCCTGGTTCGTTTTGTACGTCTTCCTGAAGAATAACTCTACTGTGATCAACTAAAAAAACGCAAAAATATATCCATGAAAAAATTGTCTGCTAAATCACAGAGTAGAGACATACAGAGCTGTAACTGACCGTCGTAAACACTGCGGAAAGCTTACGTTTTCATGTACCCACTTTTTTTCAGGCGACCAGGCAAAAAAGATCAATGCGCGTGCTCAGCAAGTTCCGCGAGCAGTTAAAGTGAGTCGTCATCAGGTCGTCATCCAATCAGATGCATGCATCTAGTAACTTGCCAATGCCGAGCATGCGCACAAAAAAGTGGGTACACTAGTTATAACTCTGTATATGTATCTATTCTGTGGCTAAATACAAGGAACACGCGTAAATATTTTCTTTACATACACGGCAGAATGTTCTTGTATCTGTTCTTTGCTTTATTTTCGGGTTTCCGTCCTTCTTCTCGTTTGTAAAGATGTTTACATTCTTGCTGTTGCAAATTCTGCAAACAAAAATGTTTCAGTTGCAGTTGTAGGGAAAAATGCACCACTTTCGGCCCAAATGTGCATGGTGCATTCTCCCGCGCGTAATACAAATTAATACAAAATTTGCAAATTTCGCAGGGCTATATTTTCAGCATTTTACAACATTTTGCGGCCAAACTTTGCAATTTTACTAATCTCAACATGCTCTTTCTGGCTGTGGTGATGGATTTTGTTCTTCTTGCCTAGATCAAAATTTAGTCTATATGGAATCATCCATTGTCAACTGCAGACTTCATCCTCATTAATTATCTTTCTTTATGTCGTGCTCATTTGAACAAACTTAAAACCATATCTTAAGCTCTCCGCAACCATCAACGATTGGTAAAGGCTTTTAAAAGGACCTATAAAGCCCATTTTCCGACTGGTATCCTTCCTGCCTTACAGTAAATAAAGTAGACCTTGAGACCTAAGTTTGTACCAGTAGTCAAGTACGCGGCAATGGACCATTTGTATTATAGACAAAATTTTGATCTAGACAAAAATAGTTTCATCACAGCTTGAAAGAGCATCACAGAATTAGTAATATTCTAAAGTTTCGTTGCGAAATGTTGTAAAATGCGGATAATATAGCCTTGCGAAGTTTTCCGTTTTTCAGTTATTTTGTATTACGCACGCGGGAAATTGACAGCCCAATCGGGTGTTGGGGCATCAATTTCCCGTTTGTAATACAAAATGACTGAAAATTGCAAATTTCGCAAGGCGATATTATCCTCATTTTACAAAATTTCGCAAAGAAACTTTGGAATATTACTAACTTTGTGATGCTCTTTCAACCTGTGATGAAATTTTTGGCTAGATCAAAATTAGTCTATAATGCAAATGGTCCATTATCACTGGAGTACCAGCGCAGCTAAAAATCTTGAATTATACAGCCTGCTCTGTTCCTCGTTAGATGATTTGCAGTAAACGTCGTTACCTCAAATTCTTCCCAGAATCCACCCTTTCCATCGACATTTCCATTTTCTTTCAAGAGCTCGCTGACTCTATCTTCAATACTGGAGGCGTTGATTCTTGTCGCGTTGTATGGCTTGAGTGTGAAAAAAAGACGATATTATTCCAGAAGTACCAGGATTGGTTAGAGCGCTGCACCAGACTCGCAGGGCTGCAGGTTCGATTCCTGTCAGGGACTTAAAGTTGCATTTTTCGCGGCTGTTCTAGCCTGCATGGCAGGCGGTACTTAGGAAATACCCTTTGCCTCCCTAATTTTCGCTGCCTGTAGAAATACCGCCTGCCGCGCAGGCTACGGCTGTTCCTGGTTAGGTTTAATAAATGTACATAGAATTTCCACTCGATAATAAACAGCTTGCACGTTAGACTAATTTTTGATTCAGGCAAAAAAAAGTAAATTTCCGTTAAGCCCCCGTAAAGAACATATTAAACTCACTAAATTGCAAAATTTGGTTACGAAATGTTGTAAAATACAGAAAATATAGCCTTGCGAAGTTTGCATATTCTCAGTATGTTTGTATTACGCGCGGAAATTGTTACCATTTTTGAGCCGAAAATGGTAACAATTTTCGCACGTAATACAAATATATACCGAAAATATGCAAACTTCGCATGGCTATATTTTCTGTATTTTACTAAATTTCGCAACCAAATTTTGAAATTTTGCTAATTCCATTATGTTCTTTTTAACTGTTGTGTTTGATTCCCTTCTCTTTACTTAGATTAAAATTTAGTCTAACATGCAAGTTGTCCATTTCTATCTACAAAACCCTACAAGCTGCTCCATTTACTGTTCGGAGTACTCCGGATTTTCGGAACACTAATGGAATGGAATAGAAGGCAGTCACATGACTGTTCTGAACTGTTCTGACTACCCCGATTTTCGATTAGGGGCAGCAAGAACAGAACACGTGACACTGCCATTTTCACGTGATTGGAAATGGAAGCGACAGATTTTGTGTATCCAATGTACACTGCATTGAGTGTTATTTTGAAGGGTTAACCGCTATATATCGACACATACTTATTATATGCTATTTCAACGCCAGGGATGGTCGAAATCAACGAGTAAAAACGTTACAAAAGCATACTTAGATATACAAATAACAGCAAATCATTATACGATTCATTATGCGAATAACTAATGAATATAGTAATGCATGGTTGCACGCACATATAACTCAACACTGTTCCAGAACACCGTGTGCATTCCATTTTATATCGTTCCAGAACAGTGTTCCAAATGTTCCAGAACAGTAAATGGAGCAGCCTGCTGCAACTATATTATTCAATCGAGTGCGATGCCAACAAAATCTTGATTTTTTTTAAAAAATAACGGCCGGACAGGCGCCGGTCAAGTTGTCTGGCCTGTTCTCGCTTGGAAACGACAAATTTTGAGCCGGTCAAATACAGTGCCATAACAATCACTTGTAAAAGTGACTAATGTAGTCACTTTTAAGTTCTTTGTATGTTTGCATGGCGATGAAACATATAATAGTTTTGTTTGTGGAAACACCACGTAAATTTATTACTGCAAAGCTTTCGATCCGTAAGCCCGGATCTTCATCAGTGCTAATAATATGTGACTTGTTTAATTCACACGCCCTTTTTAAAAGGGCGTGTGAATTAAACAAGTCACATATACGTGGTGTTTCCACAAACAAAACTATTATATAGTCACTTTTGTTTATATACACTAAGGTGACGCCAATGTAAGGTGCAGTCGATATACTGTAACTAAAGATGGATTTTATAGGTGGAAATCTCGAGTATAAATTTTATAAATTTATTAGACCTAAGGGACCGGTCATAAAGTAATTGCTAGGGTGGGCTGGAGTGATTTGGGATGGGCCATGGAAAATCTTTGGGCAGTTGCGATGGGCAGTTTCGATGGGCCGCCATTATTTTTGTATGTCCACGGTTGGGCCACCAAACAAAAACCCATGCATGTTTACTTCAAAAAATAAAGATATTAATAATAAAAGTAAACAAAACTATCCAAATTATCAAATGCAAATGATGCTATTGAAGCCAGTACTTTGTTTATACAACAACAAGTAGTGGTCGAATCACAGCAAATACAACCAATTGGGGAGCAGCTCAGTATCAATGTGTTGGTCAAGCTTGGTGGAATTATGTCAATACAGTGCCATGTATATTTACAATGTTCATACCTGCAAGTATTTTTTTATTATAAAAGTGTATTTTCCTAATTTAGATTGGGTGGGTCATGAAAATTTTTTTGTAAGATTAGATGGGCTGTGAAATTTTTATCTACATCCTAACATGGGTCACCGAACTTATTGACAAAATTTGTGATTTACATCCAGCCCACCCTAGCAGTTACTTTATGACCAGACACTAACCAGGACTAGCAGTTTGGAAAAATACGACTATAATAGGCCTTGTCTCGGGCATTCTCGGATCCACAAAATATACTGTTTCCTTGGTCCCAGTCAATAAGTGTTAAATACGTACTACTTTGAGTTGAACAACACGACCAGATTTTTCCACCATTGGACTTTTCTTGTAGTGTTCGACAAGATCTTTGAGGTTTGCAAACTTCTCCCCGCCTCCAACATCGTAAAAACCATCATTACAACGGATTTTAACATGTGTGATGCTTTCGTCGATTCTAAATGAGACCCCATGTAATATGTCATTGGGGAAACAGAAATGTTTTCCTTGCAAAACATTTTGCTGACCCAACCATTGAAAAGTCAACATTTCTCTTTACCCAACCTCAAATATCAATTAAAAATTAAAGACTAAAATTTCATACTGTCTGCACATGTACTTTCTTTGAAGACACAGTTTGCCTCCTCACAAATCGGAAAATGATCACGATAGTGATTGAGTCTGAAGTGAAATTAAACTTTAATTTTACGAAGAACTGTATGATTACTTGTTAATACAGAGGGCAAAATATATTCGTAAGTTAATTGTGAACTTGTCAAGTTCTTGAACCTCGTATGTCTCCATTCGCCGATGTTCCTTAATGGCTAATGCTGCCCATTTCTTAAATATACTCCAACCCATAAAATTGTATACTTTTTCTAGTGTTCGAGTTTTCACTAGAAGTTTTTAATTCTTCAATAACATTATTATTCGCAACGACAAAGCGAGAAGCAATTATTTTTATTGCTATTTAAAACAAGAAACTTCCCACGCTTGCGTCTCAGTCAATTAGGTACAAGTAATTTTGCCCTGAATTACTAAGAAAAAATGCCCTCACCATTAGCCAATCATATTTGAGTAATTTTGACCTCTACACGATTACTTCCGAAATTAATAGTGCCTTATAGAATACTTCAAGACTAACAGTGTTACAAAGTATATAATATTATGCATTATTCTTTTTGAGAAATTTAATGTTAAAAATACCGACGTTTATGCTAGATTTAGCAAACAAGCCTGATTAGTCTCGTTTAGGTGCTTTCGTGACAAAATTCGCACTCCTTCGAATTGAAGTCGTCGTTGGCATGACGTCATAGCATTTAATATTATTTTTTCATATGACGTCACGCATTGAAAATTACGTCAAAACTCCATATTTGGTCAGCTATTGAGTTGATATAAACGATTTCACAGTTGTTAGCCGATCAGAAAGCATGAAATCTTTTAAATAAATAATAAGACGAATAATCAGCGCAGTTTGCCTCGACAGACAAGCTTGCATGCGTAATTATGCGTCTGTTTGTATAGAAACAGGGCATTAAATGAACTATCAGAAAATATTCCATGACCATAGCCAGTAATGCAGTATGGATTGCGCTATTTTAGCTAGTTTGACCGGGTATATACTTAGCCAAACTTAGCCTAGATTATTTTATCCTGTCAACTTTCCCCATGGGAGAAAACCCACGACTTTCGGCAAAGCGTTGACCGACTCTTTTCACACGAGTCAAAGTAAAAAAAAAACCGTTGGGGAGTTTGCTAATTGAAGTTTTATGTTAACCAACCTTGCTGTAGTGTAGGATTAAGCCTCTCCCCTCCGCAGAGGCAATTGGAATAGGCTTCCATGAATCTTACATGAAGTTTCGGAATCTTACATGAAGTTTCGTGCGCGCTTACATGAAGTTTCCTGGGGGAAGGGAGGCGCGTGGGGAGCGACGGGAAGGCAATTCTTTCTTCCGTCTTCCCGTTGCCCCCCGCGCGCGTTCTCTCCCCAATTGAAACTTCATGTAAGATTCATATGTAAGCCTATTCCATTCATGTAAGCCTATATTAGCCTATTCCAATTGCCTCTGTGGAGGAGAGAGGGATTAAGCAGACCAGCTTTCAAGAGAGGGAGATGCTTAAAGATGGCAGCTACTTTTCAACAACAAAAAATCAACAACCCTGCACTTACACCAATCTTAAACCTTAATATACCCAGACCTGTCAAGTTTTGAAAAATTTTATCCTTATGTGTTCATGCTATAAAAATATGAAATGTTAGCGTCGCTCCTCCGCCTTCCCAAACGGCAAAAAATAGCGCTCCTCAGGCGTCTCCAAGCTTTTTGTCTCTTTTTGATATGCGACTGAGACACACATTTTCAAGACTTCTCAAGACTTCTGGGTACTGGCGTTGGCAAAAGAATGCATTGAACATTGTGCAAATGAAAAGAAATGGGAGTAGTTGCCCCACAGGAAGAAACCTCGACAAGTTAAGTTTAAAAATGCGGGAAGAAAGTCACTTCATGCGTGATGCGTGAAAGCGAACAAAAGTGCGGGAATTTCACGGTAATTGCGGGAAACTTGGAAGGTCTGTATACCGTAAACGCAACCTCAATCCTAACCCCTATCATTAACTTTAACCCTAAACTAAAGCAAACTCTGAATTTAAATTTTGAACTATAACGAAAACCTGCCTTAATAACCCTTTCGAACAACTGGCTCTAGTAGTATAAGCTTAGCAATCTCGGTTTAGTTCACAATGTCACACAACGTACCGTACTGTAAGAACAAAATCTCCAGGTTTACTCTGACTTTCGCGGACAAGAAAACTTCCATTCTTTCCTTTATCTAACATGACCGTCTCCGCTTCCTTGCTTGAAATGTGACCATGGAACCATCTGAAATCAAGAGCGGATTTTCATTTTTTTAAAGTACAGTAGGGGTGGGAAAATTTCTAGTGGGGTGCAAGCGATACGACTGAGCAAGTTTCAGCGGGGGTTAAGTAAGGGTTAAAGACTTTCACACAAAATAGGAGGGGTGAAGCGAAATTTCGGTGGGCTTGAACACTTTATAAGAGAGGTTAGAGAGATTCTAGGAGGGTTTAACTCCCCCTACCCCCATGTCTGAAATTATCAACTGGTATATTTTGTTGAAAAATCATTCTTCAATGTTGACAGGGAGGAAACGAAGAAGTATGCATAGTCATAGCCTGAAAAGAGACCCACATTTCGCCTGCCCTAAAATTTGCAGGTTGACAGAAAGGGGAATTTTAGGGCAGGCGAAACGTAGGTCTGTTTTCAGGCTAGCGTAGTCAATTAGCCTTTCTCACGATGACCAGGGATGGATTTACTGGGGGGTGCGGGGGGTGCACACCCCCCCTAGCCCTGGCCAGGAGGGGTGCAGGGGGGGGGTGCTATTTTTCATGATAAAGCAAAAAATTATCAGAGACAAAATGAGATTCAGTAATTTGAGTAATAACATGATGATAAGCGAACTGTGAACAACAATTACAATTCAAATACTGTAGCTAGACTTTGCAGTGGTTAAGCAAGTTGATGGATGTGTTACTCGTCCGGAAAAAAATTTTCCCTAAAAAGTTGTAAATGGGGGAGGGAGGTTGTTGCTTTCCGAAATTTTTTTTTGGCGGAGCACCCCCCCTACCAGACCATGCTGGATCCATCCCTGACGATGACGAATATCCGACATTTTTGGGTGGCATCTAAAACAATATGAAAAGCAATTTTTCAAAATAAACTTTAAACCATTTACAGAGCAATTTTACCATATTCGTCCAAAAAATTATAAAGTCGCTGTTATGTGGGCTTATCTCGCTGACTTCGGCTGAAAAGCCACCCAAAAATGGCGGTGTGAGAAAGGCCAATTTAAGTAATTGCTACTATAGATATCGCAATAGTCTCTATGAACCAGAGGCTGCGGAAGTTGTTTGAAAGTGGAGGGGCATTGGACAAAAGGGGTACTTTCTCTTTAACGTTGGAAACGGCCTTTACAAGAGTCTTTACTACTGCAAAAAGGGCACTTTCTTTCCAGCAAAAGAGGGCGTTCATTCAAGAAATACTTTTTTCGTTCTTTATATGGGGCACTTTTACCCAGAAAAAGGGCACTTTTTTACTTTTAAAAAAGTGGGGGGGGGGGCACATACCCCCATTGCCCCTGTTCCACGGCCCCTGCTATGAACAAACCAGGAATTTCTAATATAGAGACTATTAATGTGATATTTGTAGTATTTGTAGTAGCAATTACTAATAAATCCTGTAATGCATGCATTACTGTATTGTAAAGGCACAAGCCAATCAAGAGTGGAACTAATTGGGAATGGATAATCGCAGTACATCTCGCAAGTTTAACAGACATGGAATGTTATCCAATTCCTGTTTTGCCAAGTGGAAAAACATTTTGCGGACTGGGATACAATAATTTGCCGACTACCTCCCCCCCACACACACCCCTCTAGTGACGCGTCTGGCTATTATCACATGAAGTTTCACTGTAAAACAAATTGTTAAAACAACCAATAAATTGATTGTCTTAGATTCACATGAATGCGAGACAATCAATTTATGGGTTTAATCTTTTAACCAGTTTGTTTTTATAGTGTTTTTGATCACTTCTCAAACCTTTCTGTTGTTGGATCTGTAGAATTCAGAGGATATTTCAAAGTAATGACTTCGCCAGTTCTTTCTTTTAGTTGCCCTCTTGACTCAGTATAAAACAAGACCAGCTCAGAGAGTGTAGCAAATTTCTCTCCTCCATAAAGATCATAGAAATCGCCACTGTTCTGAATCTTGATATGAGTAACTTCTTCACCACGTCTAGGGAAGAAACATAATTTATTTCTACTGGTTTTTTTGAAGTCCATTTTGTTGCAATTCTTTTCTAAATCTCTTGCAATCTTTGGTTCAGGCCTCGAATTTCCCTGAAATCAATCGACGGCAATCATCAGGCGTTAAAAATTGCTGAAGAATGTAACAGCTGTCTTATGGCAATTTTGACAGTTTGAACCACGGCATTTTTCAAATTACTGTAATAAAAATTTAATTGTATTGTTACTTTGGATTTTTGGCAAGCTAGAAATATGTCTAGTCGTATTTCTTTAGTGGTTTTTTTTTTGAAGAAAATTGAGACTAAAATAGTGATTTACGCATGATTTGATCAACATCTGAATTCAAGTATCAATGAAAATAGTAATGCACAGTGAATAGTATAAAAATTGCACTATACGGAAAAAAATTGCTGTGACGTTGCCGCAATGATCAACAGCTTTTTGTTCTCCCTCTACAGCAATTGCCGCGATTGCCGCGATCGAGCCCTACTTTGGTTACTGTTACCAAAACTGCAGATGCTGCCTTAAGTAGCCTGAAAATTACTCTCAAATGTTTTCATGTCAAAACATTACAGGAGCGCTGAACCAGACTTGGCCATTTCCATGATGTTGATTTCACGATGTTATGAAATATGACGTTGATTTCATGATGTTATGAAATATGATTTGGTCTGTGAGAAATTACTAATTAATAGCTAAAAGTTTGACATTTTCGAGGTTTGTATTAAAGTTGCATTTTTGAATGTTTTGAAATAAAACCATGACCTTTTAATCGTTCGAAGACATCGAGAAGGTGGAGGGAAGGGCAACGAAATATATCTTAAATCTTGGGTTTATCACCAATGTCTTGTACATAACTAAGATTACATCAACTGGAGTTACTACCAATAACTTATTGGCATGAATATTTGGACATGGTTTTACTCAGTATAAGTTAATTAACAACTATACTTAATATATCAATGACTGAGCTTGCTCTAACCAACAAATTAGCTGAATCAGGAAAAACCAGATGTGAAACCAACGAAAACGTGATTAGATTTCTTACCCTTTGCTAAAACTGTAACATACCAGTATTCATATCTTATTAGAGTGTGTAAAACGTGGAACGTTCTAAATAGTGACCTCCGATTTAGAGATATTGATCTGCAAGCTTTCAAATCTGGACTAAAGATGTATTACAAAAACCGCTATCAGTGCTCAAGATTAGCGGTATCCCGATATCCACAGGATACCAGATTTCAATTTTGGATACTAGATATCATAGGCTTAGTATCGCGACAGGATACTAAAAACGCCGAAATATTGGCAAAGTTTGTACATCGCGGCGAAATGTTCATCAAAATAATGTTTTTTTGTTGTTTGTCACACGAAAACGGAATGAACCTGAGCACAAGGTTAATTTCTGCCTCTCGATTTTCGGCAGTGATTGCTCAGAACATAACCAATGATTACGTGCAATTTCCTGTCGCCATCGCAACATAATGAAATTTGACTTGTGTTTCTATATATGCCTATGGTTTTTCCCTGCAAGCACGAGATAAAAATCATGTGATACCACTTATCGAAATACCTACTACCCAAATCTGGGATACTAAATTTCAAATAGGGATACTAGATTTCAAGACCCTAGTGTCCACTTGGATACCAGTTAAAAATTCAAATCTTGAGCCCTGGCTATCCAATTAATATTTATAATTGTAACAATCTGCGAACTTGGAAATCTGTGTGTGTTAAATGTAAAAGGGCTACTGGTCCCTTGATGGTGTTTTAAGTTGTTATTAGTAAATGTCTCTTGCACCAATTGTATTTTGTCAGTCGATTTCACAAAACGTTTGCCAAGATGTTACAAAGTTCATTCCGAAGTTCGCAAATTTTTTTGCGAAGTTCCAAAGTTCATCATAATATTCAGTTTGCAAACTAAGCATTCGATTGGCTTCTTTTAAAGATGATGTCCACTTCTGGCGCATCAGTTCTGCTCATGTTCAAAGGGGGACCCCCAGATATAAACATTGCTCAAATTTTGCATCTTTCGAACTTTTTTGAATTTAAATGTAGTATTTATATTATTTTACAAGTAAAGCAAACCAGAAAAGTATTAGATATTCAGTTAGTATATCATATTATTTTACAAATATAGCAGTTCAAAACGTAAACAAAGTTTGCACATGTGCACAGGAGTGGACATCATCTTTAATTCATTGACCAATCAGAGACTTTGCTTACAAACGCGCTCGTGAATTTCAATATCAACTTTTGAATTTTGCAATGATTAGTTGCGAACTTCAAAACAAAGTATGGAACATTTTGGCAAATGTTTTGTGAAATTGACTGTAGGGTTATTATTAATATGTTCGTTTCCCCTATTTATTTAAATTAATCTGTCTATTAAATACCAGGAAATTGCACCATTTGGCAATAAGGAATTTCAGAAGAAATATTGAGCCCTAATAATTACAGGAAACCGGTACCAGCTAAGATTCTTAAAGATATCTGACTTTGGGTTAACTGACATGCCACATTAAACTGCTAAAAAATTAAATTAATTCTCACTAATCCACACTGGCAGAGACCTAATGTTGGCTACATTTGTGTCAAACTGTGTGGAATGTTTGTACGTCTACAAATCGAGATATTGATTCCATATATCCAGCTTCTATATATTTACTAGTAAATTTTCAAAATCTTGGGTGCATTATTTTTCCAAATTTTTGTGCAAATTGTGGCTGAACGGGCCAACAATTAGAGACAATTGGATTATAGATTTGGCTAACACAATGTTCTCAAGTATTAATTCCCACACAATTAAGAGCAGCAATTTATTATTTTTGGTTTCTACCTACACAAAAATGCATTCAAGAAATTTCTAAACCTGGTTAAACACCAAATTTAGGTATCAAATTTTAAATATCTTTTGTGCAGAGACTTGTATTTAAATATCAAAATGACTTCATTAGTTTATTAAAATAAAGGACAACACTTCGATAAAAAAATAAATATGGTTTGTAAAATTTTCAGGACATTTAATTTAAATCATTAAAATACTTCTCAAAATAATTTGTATTCCAAACACGGGTTAGAATGCTGTTTCAATTGGAAACATGTTTATGTCTATAAAATATTAACTGGATATAAAATGCTTGACTGTTTGCGAATATCGAAACTCCAAATGGCTTATTTTTTGCACGAGACATGGATTACATTGTTTATTATCAATTTCAATAGAACAATTCAATGAGAGCTTTCGAAACCAACAGATTAAACCGCTTGTCTGTGACAGCTAGTTTCGATAAATATCAAACGAAATTCGAACCCTTTAATTAATATAAATTTGATACATTTTAAGGAACAGTATATTACAAATTTCCTTATAAAAAATTTCCTATTGACGCATTTTAAACTACAGAAGATTCATTACAAACATATTATAGACTTGTATGATTATTTCATTTGAACCCAACTTTATATTGGCACTTTTAAATCAGGCATCAATGAACAATGACATCCATACATAAACAAACGTGCTTCGATGTTTCGACTTCGAAGCCCTTCTGGAAGTTATTGACCATCTCCCAGAGAAAATCACGAGGGGCTTTCGCTCAAAAGGTCTAAGTGCTTTTTATTGATTTCAGATAGTTACATTCGTTCTATGAAGCTCGTGAAATATCGCTCTTTAATCGCTACCTATCGGAGCCACACTCAATATTTATATAAACAAATGACATATACGCTATTATTTCGAGGTGTTAAAGCAATCTAATGCTTTTATTTTAGTTTATTTTACTACAGAAGTAAGGAGAATAATCCTACCTTACAGACAGCGTGAAATCACCCGGATTACTCTGGCTTGGCCTCACTAGAAAGCTGCCATCGGAACCTCTCTCCATAAGTAGTGCTTCGGCGTCGTGGCCTGTGATACGTGCATGAAACCATCTATATAAAACGAGAATAAAAATGCCCAGTTCAATATATAAAATAATTTATTTTTCCTATACATCACAAATATATAGTACCAACCTTCTGGAACCCATGATTAATGGTCAATTTCAACGTTAAAGCTTCATTAAAGAGTTTATCGAAGGGGAACAACAGGGCAAAGTAACAAATCGGAAATATACAAACTCTACTGCGGTGTGCGGAAGTAAATGAACTTTCGACAGGATCCTCTGATCTCAAAGTTAAAACTGTATGGATATTTCCATGGCTGCTACTGATCTATAATATGGCTGGACTGTTAAGGAGGCTCCCTACAGTTTCCAAAATATGTGAGTGTTAAAAAACTAATTTTTTTGCACAAGCCAATGTTTCCTCTTAGATAAAAGAGTAATTTTAACCCACAATCGCTACTCTTCACGCTACCATGACAACATGACGTCACCATCTATATTGGCTATATCAACCAAAAAAGCCGTCTTAGCGGACAAATAACCACGGTGACCTTTTTTATTGCAGAAAATACATTGTTATGAAGTTTTGAATCGTTTTTGAAAGTTATTTGAAAATCGCCAGTGTAGTTTTCGAGAAACTGAATTTCAGCCTTTTCAGAGGCTAAAATTCAGTTTCTCGAAAACTACACTTGCGATTTTCAAATAAATTTAAAAAAAAAGATTCAAAACTTTAGAACAATGTAATTTCTGCAATAAAAAAGGTAGGTCACGGTGGTTATTTGGCCGCTAAGACGACTTTTTTGGTTGATATAGCCAACGTGAAGAGTAGCGATTGTGGGTTAAAATTACTCTTTTATATAAGAGGAAACAATGCCTTGTGCAAAAAAATATTTTTTTTAGATTTAAGACATTTAAATTAATTAAAGTGTATCAAAACAAAAAGAATCGCACATGCGCAGCACGGTGATTGCTAGAAAGTATACTTCAAAATAATAACTAAACCCTAACCCTAATACTAACCTTAGCCCTAATACTAACCCAGTAACCCTAACCTAACCCCAACCCTAACCCTAACCTAACCCTAACTTATTTTAAAAATATATATAAAAACGGAAACCTTATTTTGAAGTATACTATCTAGCAATTGCCTCACTGGTAATGTGACAAATCATTGTAAACGGAATTTGACAGGTTTTAATATCTGATCATGTTTTACCAGCCTTGTGCTGTTTACCTGGACCAATAGACTTATCAACCTCGTTCCCAGGCTCTTTATGCATAATGACGTCACAAGGCTTGATGCCCGCGAGGAATGCTGGTCTTAGACTCACTCTAACATTCTAATGATCTGTACTATCGTTGCAATGGCAATGGAGAGTACAGATCACTGATAACCCTAACATTCTAATATTAGTTGTCATCAGGCCCGGGAAAATTGCGATAGTGGCCATTTTGATTTTTTTAGTTTTCCCGGGCGATGACTACTAAGACCAGCATTCCTCGCGGGCGTCAAGGCTGACAAGCCTTGTGAAGTCATTATGCATTTATGCATAAAGGTATATTGACACAAATGCTTGTTGCAAACATGCGATGTTTCATGCATGGATAGACAATATTTCGTCTGCGACTGTTCATTCTTCAAGTTTTCCGTGGAGCTATGTCGAGACAGGCATGGGCAGCCCCCCCCCCCCAGTTTGTTGGGCAGTCGGGCAATATTCGCTGAACAGTCGGGCAATTTTGGTTTATAAAAAAAAAAATTGGACAAATTCTGTCAATTTTGTGGTCAATTTTGTGATGTTTCCAAAATTTTTGTTAGGTTCCGGAAAATTTAGGTATATCCGCAAAAAATTGGTGACCCCTAAAATGGTACACTCGCTGACCGAAATTTTTTTGGCGAGGGGGGGGGGGGTGTGGAGGTCGCCAAAACAAATTCCGGAAAAAAATTTTTCGGTACTTGTCGGGCAAAATCCGGAAAAGTCGGGCAAATTTCTTTCCGCCCCCCTAAATTTTTCCTTCCGGTACGCCCATGGAGACAGGAAATACAAACAACACAAACACAACTATTGCAAATCAAAACTTTAATTCAACTTGATCCAGGGTTTATTTTAACGTGCAGTTCTACGCAAAATGTGCAGTTCTAAACCCATTTGTGCAGTTCTTAAAACACACATGTGCAGTCACCAAACTAACAAAAATAGCTTAATTAAAACAGTCTTCTCATTCACTCGTTACCCTTGTGGATGCTCCAGAAATTTCCAGAAATGTTGTCATTAATTGAGCATCAAAAATATAAACGTTTTCTGGGGAGGACTCCAGACCCTCCTATGTTCCTCACAAATCACTTACATGCTGGGGTAATGGAAAAGAAGCTAAAATTGGGGCCAGCGAAGCTCCCCAAAAGAGATTAGAGTGGGACCTAATATTCTTTGCTGCCTCAAATGCAAATTTAAGGTTGTTATATATTGAATATCCATGATTCCCAGTTACATGTTTTGAAACAGTTTTCGTGAGTGGTTGGGTAAAACAAATCTTTGCCAGAACTTAAGAGTCTCTAGATTCAAATTGTTTTGGCCTTTCTCCAATTCTCCAACCCAACTACACCATTATTCTGTCACCTGTATGCAGGTAAAAAATCCTTCGACCCCCCCAGTCAAATACCTGTTGCCTTCGTAACATCTCTATATGTGCAGTTCTAAATTTTTCTTAAAATAAACCGTGATTTGATCCCTACAAATTTGCGATACCCTAATTGTAACTTTTAACTAATACAAAACAAAAATCGTACATGGTGATGGGATAAAAAAAATATCTTGCACATATTAACGATCCCAGAAAAAAATTCCCTGCTAGCAGTAACCCTCAAAGTTAATTTTAAATGGTCGACCCTAATCTGAAGTTCAGGCCCTAATCCTATTTCAAATTAGGGCCTGAACTTCAGGTCAGGTCGACCCATAGGTCGACCCTTATATCCGTTACGTCACAGGGTTAGAACTATTTTCCATCCAGCAAACTGACCTGACGTCATTTTCGGAAGATAGAAGAGGTGTTAAATGGCTATGTAACTAACCCAAACCCTGCCCCTACTCTAACCCCTAACCCTAATCGCAACCCTAACTCTAACCCTAACCGAATTAATAAAAAAAAAACAAAAAAAAAACGACTTTAGAAAATCGATAGGGCGGTTTGCTGGATGGAAAAAAGTGCTAACACGTCAACAGCGTTCCCTATTTCTATTTTGTGACACAACCAGTACAACGCAAAGTTGCTGATTACACATCTATCTGTAGTATAGAATTTTTTATGGTAAGTTTAGTCGTTTGTTAAGAATAAGTTATGTCTTTAGTTGCTCGTGGAAGTATTTATCAGGGCCACGAGCTCTTTAGTGAACAATCGCGAGGGAACCAATGCTCGTTTATGTGTTTATATTTCTTCCCATTCAATATAAAGAACCTGTTAAGTCTAATACGACTCCTTCAAGACAATATTTAAATGAAAAAGTACTTCTCAGATCTAAATTTAATAGAATAACATATTCCTGTAAGTATAGGAAAACTATAAATCAAAAATTGAATTGTAAATATAGCTTACTATATATCATATCATATAATATTTAACTATTTTCCTTTCTCCTAAAAGCACTCGAACTGATGCTGCATATTATTTTGGGGCTCGTATTTGTGCCTCAATGGGCTGAATTTGTGCCTCATTGGGCTGAATTTCAGGAATTTGTGCCTCATTGGGCTGTATTTGTGCCTCATTGGGCTGAATTTGTGCCTTTATAATATTGGGCTGTATTTGTGCCTCATTGGCTTGAATTTGTGCCTTTATAATATTGGGCTGTATTTGTGCCTCATTGGGCTGCAGACTGGAAAGTTTGGAAAGTGCGTGCTGGAGATTTCAAAAATTTAATAGTAAATATATAGAAAGCATCAAAATTGCGCGCCGGAGATATCCGCCACGCGATACAAACTTTCCACACTGGATTGGGCTGAATTTGTGCCTTTATAATATTGGGCTGTATTTGTGCCTCATTGGGCTGAATTTGTGCCTTAATATTGGGCTGTATTTGTGCCTCTTTGGGCTGTATTTGTGCCTCATTGGGCTGTATTTGTGCCTCATTGGACTGAATTTGTGCCTCATTGGACTGTATTTGTGCCTCATTGGGCTGTATTTGTGCCTTAATATTGGGCTGTATTTGTGCCTCATTGAGCTGTATTTGTGCCTCATTGGGCTGTATTTGTGCCTCATTGGGCTGTATTTGTGCCTCATTGGGCCTGAAAATCATTCGACCATTGGACAACAGTCGGTAATTCATCGATTGACAAATATCTCTCACGTGCAATCAGACCATTTTCAAAAGCATTTCGATACATACTGTCTCCTTGCAATAAAACACTGTCTATTGTAATCGAGTTAACCCAATGAGAAACAAAATGATGATTCAGAAACAATTTGGTATATAAACTATGGAAAGGACCGTCAAGGTTCAATTATTACAAATGAGTATGAAGTTGGAGCTCCCTATGTTAACTTTGGTTTAGCTTTGATGAATACTTTTACACAAAGTAAGGATGCTATTTTGATATTAGATGGGTATATGATGGCCTTAATGCATGATATAAATTCCTTTTTCTATTTATTTGATCCTCATGCCAGAAATTCTTTTGGTATGTCTGACCCTAATGGTACTGTTGTTGTTTTTGAATTTGGAAAATCGCAATTTATTCCCAACTATTTAAAGATGCGGACATGCGGTACAGTCCGATCTGCGCATGTGCACACAGAAGCCCTCTTTTTATTATACAAACAGTTTATTTAGGTTTTAATTTCATTTTATGGTCTTGCAAAGCTTAATTGTTGTGTCTTGATAATTTATTATACTCTAGAATCATGAAAATATAAATAGTTGTCGAATAAAATTCAATATTACGGATACCGACATGTAAACAAAGCCTTTGTTTACATACGGACTGTACTGCATCTTTAAACGTTTATTTCCAGCTTTAAGGCAGCACTTCACTTGCGGTAGTAATTACTAGTTATACTAACCTGAGTATCAGGCCGTACTTTTTAGGGCACAGGCACGCCTGATCGTGGGCGAAGGGGAGAAAAGTACGGCCTGACACAAAAGTGGCATTTTGCCTGGTTGTTCAGTCCAGAATCTGGACTGAGCGCTGATTGGCCGATTAGACAAACGATTTTTAAATCTGTCATTTGATTGGCTGGTGCTAATTAGATTATACTATTGTTGTTGATATATTTTATAACGATCACAATTCACAACTACAATTATAGCCGGCCCACTAAACGGCTGAATTTAAATTAAAACTGCAGTAAAATTAGAAAATAATCGCAAATTAGCGAAATATATTGCAAAATGTAGCTTATATTAAATCGCCATCAGATTACACTATCGACTGACGTATACTTAATATACATACTTTATAATTATACGTCACTGTTTGTTGATAAATACGGCAAGCGCCATGTAAAGCTCATTGTAGTCACTGAAACCTCTGCGGAGGAGAGAGCAATCGGGTGGCGATTTAATATAAGCTACATTTGCAATATATTTCGCTAATTTGTGATTATTTTTGTTAATTTTATAAGTTCATTGCAGTTTTAATTTAAATTCAGCCGTTTAGTGGGCGCCTATGCTATAATTAGATTGTTGTTGTCGTTGTGTGAAATTTAAATTTCTCCTGCGACATT